CAACCAGTTCATACATAAGGTGCACCGGATTATAAGGCGCACTGTTGATTTTTGAGAAAATTGAAGGATTTTAAGTGCGCCTTATAGTGCGGTAAATACGGTACTTCATATAAATGAAGGAAGGATGAATGGAAAGATGTACAGAGAGATTCAGGATAAAAATCTGCTGCCATCTGCCAGGATGATGAAGATGAAACGAGGGTGGACGTTTCAGCAGGACGATGATCCCACAGCCACGGATTCTCTCAGCTGCTTTCAGAGAAAGAAAATAAACCTGCTAGAATGAACCAGCCAATCAGCTGTCCTTAATCCAAATGAAAACCTATAGAGAGATCTAAAGTTCATAGTGGGGTCGACAGAACCTTCAGGATTTGAAGACTGTTTGTGTGGAACAATGAACCAAAATCACACCTGAGCAATGCGTGAGACTAGTTTCTCTGTGCAGGAGTTGTCATCACCAATACAGGCTTTTGCACGAAGTATTAAATACATTTCAGTAAATGTGTTCAATACTTTTCCCCTATGTTTTTCTAATTAATACACATAACTCAAGTTATGGACATCTATGGTTTGAATTCTTTGCATCTGTGTACTGCATTGGGTTGTTTTACATCAATAGCAGCTTTAAAAATGGATTAACTTTGAGAATTGGTGAGGTATTCAGTACTTATTTTACCCCGCTGTGCACGAGAGGGAAATAAATGTACAGATAGGTGGCAAATAGATTGAGTTAAAAGCAGTCCAACAGCTTTGATTGGAGCTTATTCAGCTTCAACAAACTTTGGCTTAAAGATCCTTCAAATGCCTTTTTTCTTTGGAAACACTTAAGCTTCAATTATCTCTGTACAAAGGTCAGAGGTCACAGAATCTGAAGGACAAGAAGGAAATCAAACCTACCTGAGCGTCTCCTGGATGTGAGCTGCTCGCTGCTACGCTGCACAACTTATTTTCTACTCACTTCTATTGTTTTCTGTTCGGGTCTTTGGGCCTGCTGTCAGAGTGTTCAAATCACACACACACACACACACACACACACACACACACACACTCCACAATGTGTTCTTGTTTTCAGCTAATTAGAGCTGATTTCAGTCTGAACAAGTTTTTCTCTGCAGAGGATTTCAGACATCATGAGACTCAGCAGTAATGCACACTTCGCTGCAGCGTGCATGCCAATACGCCACCAAATCCTCCACACAGTAACGTCACATTTATTCTCTAAACACGTCAGATTAATAAAAGGAAAGATTAGGAACTTTTCTAATTCGTCCAGTGCACATGATGGTAAATTTGGAGACTAATTCAACAAAAAAATAAAGAGACAAAGCAAAGCAAAATTGTAAACTTCAAGTTTTTTTTTTCTCTTGTTATTTTAGTTATATTTCCAAATTCTAAATGAAAACTATTCTATTCTATTTTATTCTATTCTATAATATTCCATTCTATTCTAAAATAATAAAAATGTAAGATGATAAAATATTTAAGAATGTTGGCCAAAACAAAACTGTAAAAGGTAACAAGCTTTGTAGAAGAATTATGTTTTAAAAAGAGGAGAAAAGCAGTTCTGCTACGCCCACTGGTGGATGGTGAGAGAACTGCAAGTCCACGACTGCATGTTTAATTTGTTTCGTGTTTGATTTGTTTGGTTATATTCACACGCCATCATTCAGAGATCAAGACTGTTCCTGTAATGTTACTGTCAAACGAAGTCATGTCTTTCATTGCACAAAATACATTAAAATGTTATTTTGTGCTTGAACAAAAACGAGTAATCATCCAAACCCAGACTTGAAAACAACATTTCACACAATCAAACACCGAGTTTTATCTGAACTGAAGCTGTTCTGTGGATTTCTCTATCACAGAGGAAGCAATGTGCATATATTCACTCTGCAGGGATTCCATAAGGCTCTATGCTCGGACTACTTTTCTTTGCACTTCATATTAACATGTATCTAAATATTAATATTCCAATGTACGCAGATGATGCAGTAGTCTTCACACAATGACACACTCAAAATCACACATTCTTATGTCTTACAGAGGCTCAGGTTCAAGAGTGACTTCAAAATCATTAATTTGACTAATTATTGAACAGTGTGTGTTTATGAAGCAACCAATGACACTGTAAACAAGTTCAGTTAACTTTGACTCACTTTGGGCTCGGGTGTAACAGTATAACTGAAAATTTCAACAACAATTTAAAATTTAATTTACAAAAATCCAAGCACATCAGGCCATTTCCGGGGAAAAAATCGATAAAGGCGATCTCTTAAGCTTCGATCATTTAATAAACATGGCAGTTTTATGTATAAAGTTTTATATAGACTTTCCCCAATACTTTCAGTTGATTTATTAGGGGGATTGGTGTTAGGGCTGCTGCTAGAGTAGACAGCGAGGGGCCTGATAGGAACCAAATGTGAGGTCAGTAAAGGGGAGTAACTGTTTTGGCACTTCTCAGATCGACGCTGCACATACAATGAAAGCTGATCTCAAACAAACCAGACTTGTCATCATTTTTTACTCCACGTAGTTTTTATTTGTTTGCGTGTTTTTTATGTTACCTGCACAGAGACTACAGATAAAAATGAGCTGATTCAAATCTGGCACATCTGATATTAACACGCACTGTGCAGTTTTTAAATAAATACAACAAAAACAGCAAGAATGAAATGACCAGGTTTCAATTAGCTTATTTTTAGCTCCTTTTATTTCGAAACATTTCTGTTTCCTGGGCTTCACTTCTGATCGGTCTCG